TGGTGGGGGTTGTGTGTTTCAGATGCTAAAAGGAATGTATGGAATGGAAACTCATTGGATGCTAGCAGCACTCTTTAGCATTAATGAATATGAAAAAATCACCTTCAATGGCATACCAATTGCACATAACGCATTCTTTAAAAAATATGATAAACATGCTGAAAAGAAATGTACCAAAATGCTTCTTGATGAATAAATTACAACTGCCTTTTCAAAACTCGACCTTTCTTCATATTTCTGCCTAAAAAGATTTCAACTAAACAAGATATTGCTTCTTGAGTCGGCTGATACTCATTTCAGTCATGGAATATACAGAAAAATTCAAAGAATGAGGGAAAACTATGATTTTGTCTTAAATAATTATCTGAGTATTTTCTGCAAGTGGCGTATTCTCCGGGAATTCAGGACCAGGGGTGAAAAAACTTCTTCCAATTCCACACAGGAGAAAGCAAAAGGGATTGACTTGGAAAGTAGCACTAAGATGCTAGACCTGGTATTTCAGCATATATTGTAGTTTCTGCAGAAGATAGATTTAGACTAAGACATATGGAGACCAGGCACCCAGAACGCCAACAATTTTACATACACAAAATTATTTCTATCCTCACGAGCACCCTGGCAAATTCTGAGGGGTCCCAAAATAATGTCCATATTTAGCTAACAAACTTCAACCAAACAAAACTATTTTTAAAAGAAGAAAACTATTTGAGGCATATGCCTTGAGTCCTGGTAGACTGCCATTTGTGAGGCATACACCTCAAGGTGACTAATGTATTGCCTGTTTGGTTCTGATTCATTTTTTTCCTTACGAAAAACAATAATAACATCAGGATTCTTACAATTTGTGGACATTTTTCTAATTGGTATTAGCTTTTTGAGTTATTTTTGTGTAACCTAAAATGTTTTACTAGTTCTACTATATTTTTTCTGCCAAAATGGAAGAAAAAGGAAAGAAGAATACACTTCTTGTTAAGAAGAAATGAGAAATATATATTGCAACATGGAAAATGATGTTCATGGTTCCTTCAAACGTCATATTAGAAATTTCTGAGTTTTTCTACTTCTGGTGATTGTAATTTTATTACATGATCAGTAATTTAAGAACTTACCATTTTTCTCTATTATGCTTTTTAGTGTACCTATGGGATCGGGATAGAGGAAGAGGAAAAAACTGAAGATATCACATAGTACTTTTGATCGAAAATCTTTCCAAATTAGACTTTCAATTTTGTTATTTTGTTTATTATGAACATATTTTCCGATTTCTGGAATTATTTTATTGGTCCAACTTGATGAATACGCCTCACTTTGCCTAGTTAAACCTTTTCACAACTTTCTAAACATTGTTGACAACAATCCTATAAACTAACTACTTGCATTCACACTTGTGACCTATTCATTAAGTTTCAAAAGCAAGGCCATCACAAAACTGAACTTATTTAGCAAATCAAAAATATACGAGATCCAGGCCAAAGTAATGCTTCAAGTAAGCATGGCTGCATGGGAAATCAAACTGGGAGAGGGATGGAACATTACATTAACCTTGCATCTTAAGTTTCCATTTATAACTAAAACCATCATCACCATCCCCAAAGAAATAAACTGTGCGCAACCAAAATGGGGCAGTGGAGGAAACCCCGAAGAAAGATACAATGTGCAATCAAAGGAAAGAAAGTCAGGTTACAACAACAGACAACAATTAAACAGAAGTATTTAGAGCTACGAGTGAATGCTTTGCATTGAAGATGACCAAGAATGAGATTAGCTGGATCACAATTCATACATATTCCATATGTCCCGACAATAACAACTTACCAATCACCAAATATAGAAGGGCCGTATCCTGATGATGCTAACACAGTTGAATGGATATTGCAATATAGCTAAGAAAACAAATTTCCAAAACTACAATCCTTAACCATTAAAACTTAATTTCTATATTTGGATATCAATTGAAAAATTGGTATCAATATAAAATCAGGCTAAATATATTTTGCTAAATTTTCCTACAGATTTATAATTGTCTTCTACCTTCAATTTGTCTTTATTAGGCAACAAGATCTTTTACCTCTCCTGTGAAGCTCTAAGCTTTATTTTTGCATAAGCATATTACTGAATGATAAATATCCACACAAATCAGGATAATCATGGAGAATCCAGTTTTTAACTTTTCAGTTCTCAACGGACCTTATAATTAATTTAGTTTTATCACAAAAATCCAAAGTACAAATACAAAAAAATAAATTAATTAATAAATTAAAATCGCCACTGAATAACCATTCCAACTCATCAGCTTCAGTACAAAAATCATATTATACACAATATACCAAAATAATTTAAAACAAAGAGCCAGTGCACACGAACGCCAACCTGTTCGTGAACGAGACAATAGAGAATATTTTGTCCGGGATTCCGCTTCTACTTCCCTATGAAATTTTATACAAGAAAACAGAAAATAATTAATCAAAATGTTACAATCACAAACAACTAATCGTTATCACACCGTCAAATTCATCATATCTGTAAACATCTACGAAAATATAAATATAAATATAAATAATACATATAAACACAGAGAGACCAACCCTAGAAGCGAATAGGAAATGATAAGAGAAAAGTAGAAGAAACCAACATAAATACGAGATAGGATCGAGAAAATGCACAGTTTGAAAATAAGAAGAAATGATATGGAGTAATTGAACTCTACATACAATTTATCACTCTGTCAATGGGTTTGAAATTCTGATTGGTAGTGTCCCATTATAGCCAATGAAAAGCTAGGTTGTAACAAAAAGGATTTGAATCGAGCGCACATGATTATTATAAGGTGAAAATGGTTCCGTATTCTGGTATATGATCTGTCATTTTAAAATATTTTAAATTATTTAAAATGGGCACTATCATATGATACGTGGAATGTTTTGCTTGATTTAATTGAACCGACTTAAGGTATGGCTCAAAGTACAACGGGTCTCTTAGCCGGTAGAAACATGAACCGATTATTTGTATAGGTTTTGAATTTTTGTCTCCCTATTTTTATCATTCGTAAACGAAAACTATGGAAAAGGAATATTTGAATAACTCAATACGGATTGTGTTATATTTATTGAAACTTGTACGAGTTTGCTTCAATCATAATAGAGGTCCATTGAGTCGATCGGAGTATTTATAACGAAATTTGTCAACATGTTATAGATGATTAATCGAATTGTTTAAATGATAAGATAGTCATTGAGAATGTTGACTTAGTAATAATAATGATGATAATAATATGTCACATACTATTTTTATTAAAATCATCGCTTATATCCGATATCTTTTAACACTTACAATATAAAAGTGCACTTTGAGTTGTTAAAATAACTTTAATTCAAGTTAAGTTCGAAAAATCTTTATAATTTGATTTGTAGTTGATGCCAAAATATTGAAAAATCTTTAATTTTGAGATCAGAAAACAACCAAACGAATACCAAAAACACCAAGGCTCGACCGAAAACCAAACATTTACTTTCGTTGTTCCAAGTTCTTTCAAACCTCATAAAGAGGAATGAATGATGGTGGTGTAAGGACTTTTAATTAAAGATGGGCTTGTATGTGTAAATAATTGTGTGTTAAATTATAGGCTATCGAATTCGGTTGAGCCCAATTAAAGTGATCTAATAAGGTTTCGGTTTTGGGCTTTAATGTATCCAATTAAAGTATGGGATTACATATGTGTAGAGACCGGGCCCAAGTCCTAATTCTATGATGGGCCGAATTAGGTCAAAGGGCATTCTCATATAAATAGGTTATGGTCCCCAGATCACACGCAACAGATTATTGTTCATTCTCTACTGCATCCCATCACAGAGAGGAAAAGGAGACTGCGTGTAGATTTGGAAGATCATACCGCGAAATCCATATTGCATTAACAATGTCAGATTCAGGTATGCTTCCGCTTTAATTATTATATTTCTTGATGATTTAACATGAAAGATCCGGTATTTAAAGAATTAAATTATCCAACAAGTGGTATCAGAGCCTGTTCATGTTGAATCATTGAGAATCAAAGATTTTAATTTGGTTCTTGCAATATATTTTGAAATTTTCAGATTTAACAATTTTTGGTTATATATTTTGTTAAATTTGAAAATTTTTGCGGTATAATTCTTGTTATTTTCGTTCGGATTAATTAGTTTTGAAAATTCAGATTTGGAATTCGGAAATTTTGAGATTCAGAAAATATTT